CCCCAAAACCCCAAAACCCCAAAACCCCAAAACCCCAAAACCCCTTTGAATTTATAAATATTGTTATTGGCAAATTTTTATGAATTTCCTCTAATATCTCTCCTGCTCCTTTTCACTACTCTTTTCCGTTATTTTATCATGATCTTGAGCCATTAATTTATTTCGAATAGTTGAATTATCCTTTGCTTTACGAGAACCCCCTTTACGAGTATTATAACGAGATTGCTTCTGAACCCCTCTCTTCCTAAACTTCTCCTCTAACTCTTCCTGTCTTTTTCTAAACATCTCCTGCTTCTTCCTCTGCACTTGAGCCATACGTGATTCTGACACATTTCTACCCTTCTCAGTCCTAATCCCCACCGAAGCAGGCCGTTTCTAAAGTTCCATCACCATCACAATCCCCTAACTTACCTTCTTAAACCCTCCTTCACCCTCTCTCTTCTCTTTCCTGCTCATACCACCTCTAAAAACACCATTACCTCTACTCCTTCCTCCTCTCCAAATCTTACCTTCAGTCCCTAAATTCCTCTTCCTTCTTAAAATTCTTCCTGTTCGCACAGTCATTTCTAAACTTTTTGTCTAAAATGTAGCTAAGATTTCGTACTGGGTGGGTATAAGAATAACCGATAGTTTGTATACTCCCATTAACTTACCTCTTTCCACACTAGCACTTTCAAAACTCTTCTTAACCTTCTTCATTCACTTCTTCTTCCCTGACTTTCTTGATTTATTTCTTACTAAAGACCCAGTATCTCACTTATAAAGTTTAGTTTTCTCTTTATTCTTATCTTTGACCAACACTCTTTTACCTCTAAATTCCTTCTTGGCATCTTTTATAGCCTATATTATTGCAAACACCTAAGCTAAGCATTTAGAATTTTGAACTCTGTTGTGAAACCGCAAAATTTAAAACTAACTCTGTGATGTAGTCAAATTTTGATCCATATATTTTCTAAAATGCTAATGTCATTTTAGTTGTAAGCTATGGTACATAGTTTTAGCCTTATGCACAACCTTTGGGCTATGACCCAGCACAATATCTCAAAAATCTTAGTACCTTCTTAAGCTGGCTGATGACCCTGTCCTTCGATGAATTTTGAGCTTGAGTTTGAGACTGATCATGGCCTTCTCTTTCAGGTGTACTTATATTAATCACCCCATTATTGTAGTAATACTCTACTTTGTGAGGAGTTCGTCTAGAGATAGAGTTGCTCCTGCTTTGGTTTGGGTTTTTGGACTCTAACTTGATTCGCAGTGGGGAGCTACCACGTCCACAGTGGAGGTCCTTAGCACGCATCGCCGAGGATGTATCTGGGCTGTAGATGTACCCCATAGGGGAGTTTTTAGCTATAGGAGGATGGTAATAAGGATTTAGAAAGAATTAGAATAGGAGATTGGTTTAGGGAAGTGCAATTATTTTCAGAATTTTAAATATCGAGATTCTTACCTTTAGAAGTTGAGTTTTTCACTTCTTCTTCAATAGGCTCCCTAGGGGAATGGAATAACTTATTTACGAGTCGTTGATTCTTGGGATGTACGAGGCTGATACTGGAAACTTATAATATCAGGCGAAGATTTATAAGCTATTGGTAGATCAGTATGCTCTAGAGTAATGGGCACTGGCTCTTCACGTGATGGCGGTAGAAAAGAGGCCAGGTTCTTGCTCTGAGCATGCAAAGAGTCTATGATGTGGTCGTTGTTATTTCTTCGAGCTAGATCAGGCTCTGTAGGTACTCTAGATAAGACAGCAACATTCTGAGGCTTGGGAATTTTAGTCTCTGGTGTTCCAAATGAATCATTAATCAATTCATGCTTTTCAAAAGGCTTGTTTGAGCTTAAGAATAAGTTTTTAGAATCAGAGAAACTGTATTGACCATTAGAGTCTCGGCTTCTGTCACTATAGAGAACTCTGTCTTGTCGTTCTTTCCTTGATTTCTCTATTTTCTGCTTTCTATCACTAATCATTGCATCGATTCTATCCTCAGAATTTTCTCTGTTCTGGTTTGTACTCCTATTGGGAGATGAAGGTTTCTCTTCTGAAGCACTTCCTTCTTTCTTTTTAGTTTCTTCTATTTGCGAATCTTGAATAATATTCTTTTCAAATTGCTGAATCGAGCTCAAATTTGCATCATTCTTAGAATCCTTTCTTTCTTCTTCTTGCTTAGCTTCTGCTTCCTTCTGAAGATCTCGGCTAAATTTCTCTTGCTTGGGTTCTTCCATTTTCACTTTAGCAGGTTGGCTCCTTGGACAGTAACCTTCAGGACTTCCCTGAGAATATTTCTTCTTAATTGTTTCAGATTTCTGTTGGACTTTCCTCTGAATGTCCCTGGCCACTTGGCCAGGGATATCTGCTTTCCGAGGAAGATTTGTATGAACTCTGCTGAGAGCAGAGTAATTCAGATCATTTCTGGAGGTAAATCAAGGGCGTGACTGGATCTTCGAGTCAATCCTATTAAGGAGAACATCCTGTTTCTTCTCAATTTCATTGATTCAAGAACGAAGAGAGCTAATTTTGGCAGACAGATCTGCATTCTCATGCTCGGCTTTAGAATTGTAGTAGGAATCTATTTGGGCTCTGTAGTAATCTCTTCGAGGATGGTACTGATATGACCCTATTCTCGTGGTCTGCAGGGTCCGAAGAAAAGGAGATCAATCTTGTTGTAAAGTGATTGTTCCATCTCGAAAATGATCAGTATCATAAGTTTTAAAGTTTAAGTCGTTGTGAAAGTTGGAAGATCTCAACTCTTCTGGCTCATATTTCAGCTTTTCAACTCTTTTATTTATTCTTGCTAAAGATTATATTCATTTTTACAATTGTGGGGATGAAGACTTGGAGTGCTTTTGCAGTTAGGAATACAAAAATGATCTCTATAATGTTTAGCAAAAATCTACCTTCTTAGAATCCTTTGGTGAGACCCTGATAATTGAAAGTCAGAATCAAGAGTATCTTGAGAGACTTCTCTTTTATGAATTTTTATTGAATTTTCTAATAATGCATTTCTGTGCTGATCTCTTTCAAATTGCTTCCTTCTCAGAGATGAGGAATAATTAGTATGTCCTACTATATCTGTATGAATTCATAAAGACTTACAATAGCTGCTTGAATAAGCTCCTCTATACTTCCTTAACATTTTTCTATCATTTTCTTTTGTATATCGCTCATAATCTCTCATTTTCTCATTCATATCATTAAAATTTCTATCCAAGTATTTGTTACTTCTAAAAAATCTATCACCATTCCTTTGGTTTAAAATTCAATTTTAAATACTTCAAAATCTTTCAAATCACTCCCAGCTTTCTTCTTACCTTCAAAATTCGTTATCCATTTGAAAAATTTAAATTAATTTCAAAATAACCCAAAAAAGCTTTAATCCCTATAAATCACCTGGGGTTTTGGGGTTTTGGGGTTTTGGGGTTTTGGGGTTTTGGGG